ATCATGACAGCTATATCACTCAAGAAGTCTTAGTGTGCAAAGTTTCAGTTAATAAACACAACAAATAACTTGAAACCTGTGTGTTGCATTTTGTCAATCATTGTGTTGTAATAAAAATTCGCGTTTTTTTTGCACCTCAGTATATTATGTAGTAATACGAGGTGCCCACTACGGCTGGGATCGGCCGATCGGGCCGATCGCCCCGTCTCGATCGCCCCGACTCGATCGCCTCAAAAACAAACGTGTTTGTTTTCAGTTTCAGGCGATCGAGTCGGGCGATCGGCCCGATCCAGCCGTAGTGGGCACCCCGTAAAACGCGTTTGTTTTTTAGGCGACGAATCGAGCCATCGGTTTGTGCCACGATAGCCGCTTTGTGCAAACCGATGGTGCTAATGGGCGCTGGGTATTAGTTCACGGCAAGCAAGTTCAGATGGGGCAAATTCAGTTGTTTGCAATCATTACAAAAATATGCGGAACCCAACAAATCCAACTGGACCATTGTTTATAACAAAACTGGGTGTCAGCTGCAAGAGTTTTTCATTTCTTTTTTGTTTTGTTTTAGTAGAGGTTTTACTGCCCTCGCAACCGCACAAGGTCATATGAGCGCCAAGGGGTGATTGTCAACAGAGAAGTCTTTACAGGGAATCGGGCATACTCTGCTCACTTCTCTAGCTTTAACAGCACAAAGTCTGCTTCGACTATCAAGGCACCTCGGGAATAGCGGGTCACAAGAGAGTGACAAACATACCAAAGAGAAAAATTGACGATAATAAGGATGAGGAAAGAAAAAGCAGCAGTTCCTTGTTGCGATTCCGGCACAGTTATGAGCATGACGTCGATGAATCAGCCCATTTATAATTTTATTGTGTAACAGAAAATGGTAATGCCCCCCTTTGGGAATGGCCTAAAGACACTTCAGTCAGTAGCACCGCCCTTGGGGGGGGGGGGGGGGTATTCATTTCTAGAAAGTGTCGTGTTAAATGTTATGCAAAAAAGGGGGTATGTATCAACGGAGTTAAAGGGATATTTAATTTGTGGTGCTGAAAAATGGGTGACACATTTGGCTGCTAACAAACATGGAATAACCTACCGATCACCCGACCTGTCGCCTGAAAAGACAAACGCGTTTGTTTTCAGGCGACGAGTCGGGCGATCGACCCGATCTGACCCGATCCCTTCCGCAATGCACACTCGGTACAGTCTTCAGTTTGATTGTTTTTAATCAAATTAATGTACCAAACGAATCAATGGCGTCCAAGAAAATCAGACGTGCTTGATTATGAAGGAATTAACCACACTTCCAACCGACCTAACTTTTATCGGGAGGAGTCGGGTCGTGTCGGTGGGCACAGTAAAGCGGTTTTATCAGTGTTTGCTGATGTCCATTGTCGCGTTTGTTTTTGAGGCGACGAGTCGGGGGTGATCGGCTTGTGCCACGTTAGCCGCTTTGCACCCTCAATTGGGCTTGCAAACCGCCCTGACCAGACCCGATCCTCCAATAGGCACCCCGTCTGAGGCAAAAACGGTATTGTATTTGAACTACCATTTTTCAGAGAGGCGGACGACTTATGGTTGGTTGGTTGCTGGTTTGGTGGACATCCAGTCTACGACTTCACAGCATACATTGGAACAATGTTTAACACTAATTAATATTAGGTGTTTGAAAGTCAATATCTTTCCGGGAGTTTTTAGAAGGCTGGAGTGCTTAGACAATACGAGAAGAATCTAGGGACTGGCGTTTGTGTTGTAACGGTTAGTCGCTCTGCCGTTGCCCGCGAAAGATACGAGTTCGATTCCTGTGCGGGGACAACTTTTATCGAGTACCCCGTTCTTTCTACAGGTACGTCGTCTCCCTCTAAGCCCGGGTTTGCACTGGCAGGCAAAGTCTAAGCCCAGGTCCTAAATATCTAAATTGAGTCGATGGGGGCGTAAAAACAATGTACAGCATATTTTAGGGAACTTGGAAGGCTTTTACACAGACAGAAGGGTATAAGTAAATTCAGGCCGCTCCCCTTTCTTGTTCCTTCTTAATTAAGATACGTTAAAAGCGTCTTTCGTGCGTTACGTTACAGTAACCCAAATGAAGTCCCTCAGAGGATGGAGACCCTACATGTGCGTAGTAGTAGGTCAAGTAGGTCCCGAGTACAGGACTCGAGTTTAATTTTATGGGTATATGAACCCCCCCCCCCCCAAACAAGCTGTTATTTTATGCGCACTGGTTAGGTTTGCATGTCGGGTGTTCGAGGGTCTAGTAATATAAAATAGCACACGACCCTGTTACCCCGAACGTAATTCTAATGACTGCCTATTTCTGTCTTCCTCGGTCAGTTAACAGATAAAAACATTGCTTTTGCTCATATTCATCAAGGAGGAGCATTTCATTTCCACATCATTTACACCCTGTGAGCAACAATAATCCGCATGTTGATGGGAAACAGCCGGTCATATTAAAAAGGGATGGCCACACGGCGTTGTGGAATCATGCTCTCGTCAAACTGGGACTCATGAAGTTATTGGTATAATATTAAATCCTGTTCATTTATCTTTCTATAGGAGGAAAATATACCCATCTGTCTTGAATAAATATAAGTCGAGATATTTGTGACTGAAGAAGGTGGAGGTCACCTGGTGGCAGAGATAAAATTAGTGAAAAAATGGTAGTCAAAGTATGGTGACTTTCAAAGCTTTGACGTCCTTAGAAACTGCAAATTTATTTTTTGTGTGCATTTTATCTGTTTCTTGTCATTTATTATTATTAAAATAGGAATTAAAAATGTTGAGCCAAGAAAAAAAAGGATAACAATTGCCTAACAAGCAGGAAAATGTCCGTTTCTCTGATTTCATTCTTTTTTACGGGCGCCTGATTTCACCACGATGTCACACAAATGAACCCGATCTGCACTGCAAAAAGCGATTTGGTCGGGTCGGGAAATGACGCCGGCCAGTGCATACTGTATTATATAGGGTTTTGCTGCGCGTGACCAAATTTGATGAAGAAATCCATCAAGGCCTAGGTCTATCTCTTTCCGTGCGCCAACAAAAGATCCATCACGGCAATGCGATGGGTTATGTACGAGCCCTTTGAGTTGCTGTTCGCCACCATATTCATCAAATTATGTACCCGATAGTGACCTGGCAAAATCAAACATGCTTGATTTTAGAGGAACGAGATGATTGTGCCAAATGGTATCTTTTGTCCGTCTGTATAGATGGGGAAAGTTGGTCGCCATCAGATGTATCAAATTCTGTCGAACAGAGATTTATTGACGAAACTTTCTGCAGTAGGCACATCGTACAGCCTCTCATTTTATCACCCGACCGTTCCATCGCCACTGTCGAGCGGGTTTCTTGAAAGGCAAGAAGATTTCCTTGCTCTCTACCGTTGAAAAGTTGCAGTCTCTTCTTCTCTCTCTCTCTCTCTCTCTCTCTCTCTCTCTCTCTCTCTCTCTCTCTCTCGTGTGTGTTTGTTTGTTTGTTTGTTTGTTTGTGTGTGTGTGTGTGTGTGTGTGTGTGTGTGTGTGACTGTGCAAAAGAGGAGGGGTCCTCTGTGCAGTTGCTATTGATACAACTAGAATAAGTATTATCTTGAGCTATGGGGTGAGCGACCTTATTCCAATCCTCAACGGAGAAATCTAGAACTGAGGTCGTTTGTTTTTTAAATTCTGTCCCATGACCCTTTTGGGGATGTTACGGAAGTAATCTTATTTGCTACCGTTAGATTATTGAAAACAAGTTGGTGAGTTTAAGTCCCCACCGACACAATTTAGATAATTTTGGAGGCGGGCCCACTAACCTGCCTGTCAGGCCAGCCTGGCTGAAAGGGATACAACATCTCAGAAACACACAAGGACACTCGGTAAAAACTCTCCCCTCAAGGGAATTGAATTAAAGTCTTCCATTTGCGACAACAAAGCGCCTTACCACTGCACCAAGTTACTGAATTGATACAAACAAAACTGTCTGTCTTGAAAATGAATGCCAATAGTTAGCTGCCCAGCTTGAAGAAATAGATCTTATGTTTAAGTTCAAGAAATTCCCAGAGCGACATAACAATGCTTTAGGCAATAGTATAGCCTATTGTGTCACTTTTAGTCTCACTATTGAGAGTTTGGATTTGTTTTCCAACTGATTTCAACCAACTTTCTCATGCTTTGGCCCACGACTTGGACACACTTGCCCATGTCTGATGTGTGCAATGCCCCCATTGTTTAGGGTGCGGTCACCCAGACTATTACTGGCTAAAAGTCAAATCATTGAAAAACAAGCACAACAAATTTATTTTAAAACCAGCTCGCCAACCTAAGTGTATGTCCCTGACTCGTACATTGTTGACCGCATGATTTAACAACTTTTTCAATACTGTAATTACTAAGGCTTTTTAAGAAGCGGGACTTAAATGTTTAACGTCCATTTTCGATAAGACTGAACCAAGTTCAGGATTACGACGCTTCTTTAAATACTCTAAGGTTGTTACAGGGGCGGGCCCTTCGAAGTTAACGTCCATCTCCCAGAGGGCCTTCAAAACTGCTCTAATAAGTCCGAGAATATAAGTTCTAAGATTCAAACTATGGTCCTTCGCATCACAGTCCTAATTGAAATTAAAAAAACTGCACGCCTGTGTTTTGCAAGGCAGAAAACATGGTCTTGAAAAGCAGTTCATTATTCTTAAGCCTTTTCTGTATTTCTCTGGTACCATTCAGTGTGGCTGCAAACTGTTTACTGTTTTTTTCTGTTCTCTGTACATATTTTCCTAACTTCCCTGCGAGTGATAGAACAATTCATTCTCTTATCTTGCTCAAAGTTTATTTTAATACAACTGTAATTTTGTTCGGTCAACCTGATAATCTTCCAGTAATGCATACACAGTTACCAGGAGAACTTTACCATCTGTTGTTTCGTAACTTTCTTGGTGTTATGTTTGTCAGTCGAAGAAGGGAGCATCTGTGTTCTAACGCATAACACAGCAGCTGTATTAACCAAATAAACAACAACGACAACATCAACAACAATGAGGCGACTAGAAGCAATGAAGATTCTTCTTTTTGCGGTCTTGTCTGTGGCATTGACTTGTAAGTACTTTGATAAGGAACCGTTTCTTTTTCTTGTTTTTCTGAAGTTTCCATCTGTTCAGGGGGTTGCTCGTTTAGTAGAAGCTTTATTTATTAGGTTAATTATCAGTTATTAGTTCTAATAGAAAATGTATCAATGATATCTTTATTTTCAGCTGGGCATATCAACATCCAAGTCAGCCAAGTGTCTACAGCACTGAACATAAACTGCACCGTCTCTGACCCGACAGGAAAGAATATTTCTCACGTGATCAGTGTGGTCATTTCAAGAGTCAGTGGAACAGAAAAGAGTGTGCTCGCCTCTGTCTCCTCATATGACAAATTAAAACCGATTTCACATGTTCAGGTAGGTCTATATGTCAAATAGCTTCTTCAGGAGTAGAGTGTCACACAAATACACACGTACGTACGCATAACACACACACACACACACACACACACACACACCCCTCCCCCCCCACACACACACAAATACACATACACACATAAATATACACACTCACCACACACACACATACATACACACACACACCTATATATATATATACGTATATATGTATATATATATATATATATATATATATATATATATATATATATATATATATATATATATATAAAGAATATAATATACATATACCAATTACTGAGTCATAGAGAACTCAGGCTCACAGTTATTAGTGCCAGACGTGTGTCGTTAACACAGCGTTTTGGTTGGTGGTTACTGGGTATATATGTATGTGGCTGTTCTCTCTTCACTCTACTTTTTTCAACATTCATCTTAGAGCACACTAAGGACAATGCATATTGAAGAAGCCCGCGTGGGATCTCTCTCTCTCTCTCTCTCTCTCTCTCTCTCTCTCTCTCTCTCTCTCTCTCTCTCTCTCTCTCTCTCTCTCTCTCTCTCTCTCTCTCTCTCCTTTGCCCTTTTAAACTCCCAGTGGAGCATAGGCCATAAACAACATTTCTCCAGCGAAGCTGTTTCCGTGATGTCCCCGCCTTTTCCATTTTCGCTTGTTCCACTCGCTTCCATGTCATCTTTGGTCTTCCTTTCTTACGTTTTTCTTGCGGATTCCACGCCAAAGCCTGTCTGATGATGCTTGTCTGGGGTCTCCTCAGGGTATGCTCAATCCGTTTCTATTTCTTCACCTGTATGTCTTCCTTTACTGTCCTTTGGCATGTTCTTTCCCGCAGTTGAGCATTTGTGACTCGACTGTACAACTTGATCCTCACTGTCCTCCTTAGACATCCATTTATGAAGCTCTGCAGTTTCCTTGCTGTTGATACTGAGAGCCTCCATGTCTCTAAACCATACCGTAGAACAGTCTTCACGTTTGTTTTGAAGATCCTCAGCTTGGGGTTCAATCCCAGTTCCTAAGACATCCATATATTCCTGAGGATGATGAATGCTGCTCTTGCTTTTTTAATTCTGACCTTGATGCCTTCATCTGTTCCCCGTACCTTATTGGTGACACATCCCAGGTAGGTGAAGGATTCAACATCCGCCAATGGTGCCCCTTACAGTGTAATAGGAACACCGGCTGCATTCATTCGAAGAACATTCGTTTTATCCGTGTGAATATGGAGTCCAACCCTACGGGAAAAGGTCCTGAGGCGATCTGTCTTTTGTTGCATCAGGGCTCGACTGTGAGAAAAAAGTGCCAAGTCGTCTACAAAGTCGTATTAGCTGTTGATGTTTTGAAGCTGTTTTTTGTTTTGTTTTACGCCCTTTGCCTAACCGACCTTAGTCGCCTTCTACGACATGCGCGGTAAGAATACAGGGCCCCGGGAACCACACGGGTGCCACGTGGGATGCTCACTGATAAAACAATCAGGAAAAGACAAATGCAGTTTTGGGGACACCTAAATAGACATAATAGTCTTGAACACATAGCTCTCACTGGTAAAATGTAAGGCAAACAAGGCAGGGGTAGACCCAGAGCAACCTACTAGGATAACCTAAACTTATGGGGGACAGGGGAAGATCAGGGTAATGTGACTTCTTTAAAGAGCATCCGAGGAAAGGAATAAATGGAGAACCATGATCGCCAATGTCTGTCGCAAATATGGCTTTCCATGATGATGGTGGACAATGCATTAACAGGTCACGAATCCACCATCAGCAGAAATGGAAGACCAAAAACAATATATAATTCGCAGACGATACAGATGTCCTGAAGGGAAATCGAAGAAGAGAATGAATTGGTTGATTTGATTTTAAGAGTTTAACCAGCAAGACGTAGTTTTAGGCCGTGTGAAAATGTTGAAAAGGTACAGGTTCTACGTCCCTATCAACACTATCATATATAAGAGGCAGAACCTCCGAGTTTAACGCCCAGCCCCGAAAGGACTGAGCCAAATGGAACCAAACTGAGGCTCGAACCCCCAAACCCAAAATCTTACAACTACGATCCGGTAGTCAAACTACTAGGCTAGATCCACCGACGCCACTTCTTTTAGGCTGTGTGTCCACCAAAGCAGAAATGACCCGATTTTTTTATTCAGGCGTCGTGCTCACCAACAAATGGGTCGTTTCGACTAGCCTGTTGGCCTACTAATTGGATTTGAGCCCTAGACAGTTGTGGCAACGCGTTGTGTTGATAGATAAACCAGTATGTCTGGCACCTACTATTTTGAACTTGATTAGTTGGCCCGATCTCCAATACCCGATCGAGTAACAAATAGCCAACTCGGTAGTAAAGAAGGCTTTTGCGGGCCACAGTCAAGAATGCCATTATTTTTCACACAACTTTGTTAAAAACTTACAAAGTCTGCATTCACTGCGTGGAAAAACAAATTACACGTCTCGAAAGAGTGTGTTCTTGTTGTTTCTTTCGTACCAATGACGCGTTTAAAATTTAGTATTGTTTTTGCTTTTGAGCGAAACAAAACTTGTGAAGTTGCGAGTTTGCCATTGCAATAACAGACAAAACAATGTCACCACCACACTGGTATCAGACTATATTATAGTCCAAAAGCCAGTGAACGCAAGGCGGGAATAAAAAAGGAATTAGTTGTTTTTTTAATTAGTAAAATTGTTAATGTACATTTAAACCAGGTTGTTTACGCGTAAGTAAACTTGGTTAATTTTGAGGTTCTTATTACGATTATGAAATTATACTTTTTCATTCGAACATAAAATCGAAATTCTATTTAACTTTGGCTGGATCTATGGCGGAAGAGTCTGCCCAAGACAGACTAAAATGCCACACACAGCATTACAATTGAACCACCTTTGGTCGGGAGGTGTCAGGTCGTTTTGGTGGACAAATCATAACCGATGTTTTACTTTTGTTAAGGTAGAAAAAAACTGTGGTCAATTTCAACTACCAATTTCCCGAGAAACAGACGATTTACGGTAGTTCGGTCTCGGGGTTGGTGGACATGCAGGCCAAATGGGAAAGAAACAGGAAAGACAGCAGAAGGGGCAAGACAACATATCTGAGTGGACAGGCCTCAGCTTCACTGAAACTTCTAGAACAGAAGATTACGGTGAGAGATGGATGCGTGTTGTGAGGTCAACGTCAACAACGCTCCTAGAGCACCATAGCAGAAGTTAAGGAGGAGGTACGAGATACGAAACACTTTTCACTCAGTAACAAGCTCCAGTAGAACTGCTCCGAAAATACTAGCAGAAAGTTACTTGCAACACCCAGTAATGTCCGTCTCAATCCACTTAACCATAATTTTGTCCCAAGAACAAACTAGGAGAAAGATTACTAATTATACAAATGATTCCTTTTCTCTGCTTGGGCATATTCAGAGTGGTACGGTATCTGGCATCATCCAGGACGAAGCAGCCTCAGAGAGTTTTTTGGGCATCCTCTGGGACCACAGCGATCCGAGCCAAACAGGAACGTACACCTGTGAAGCCAACGCCGTCGGGAAAGACTTTCTCCCCGTAGTCCTAACGACCAGTAAGCAGATCACAGTCCAGAGTGTGGAACCAAGCGTCATTGCACATCCGTGGGTTATCCAGCTTGGGCTGACGAGAGAACTGCAGCTGACATGTGCAGTGGACGACCCTCCCTCAGTGGGTATATCGACGCCGATATCAGTAACCTTATTCCGGGTCCATGGCCAAACGGAGCAGGTTCTGTCTACAGTGAGTGCTTTTGGGCCTGCTGCTCTCATGCCGGGTGTGACCGGAGCCACAGTCGAGGGTCAGATAGGGTAAGTCTTAAGAAAGTTGTGATTTTTGTCGTTGCTTTATAACTGTAACAGCTTATAAGCCTGAGATCAAAGTAGTGGTGATGAGTACCACAGGAAGGTATTTCGTCTTTTCTTTCACTCACCCTGTTGTTTCTTTAACTCCATCTTGCCTTTCCCTGCTGTACTTTTAAAGATTGTTACAGTGTCGATGTGCTTCTCCGTACTTGAACTGATCGAAATACACATTAATTTTCTCGAAGGAGGACCGTGTCCCTGTTCGACAGATCGGCCCAAAGAGCACAAGACCAAAGAGACAAAAGGAAAGAAAGATGCAATCCCTTGGTCAGAAATAATGATATGAATGAATGAGATGTCCGCAACACGAGAACTGAGGATGGAGGAAGGGGGTTGAGAGGGAGGAGGGCTGCATCCGTTGATGTGCTTATGTTGGTGGAATATGTACCTCCACCAGTGTGGGGTGTAAGGTGAAAAAACAATGTATTTTAGAGATCTCCGAAGAGCTTGGTTTGGCTATGGTATAATTATTCGAGATCTATATTCCATTTAAGCATACAGCAGGCCTCTTTAAAGAGGGATACTTGAGAATGTGCTTGGTGAAAGTACACATAATATTTCCTAATCGCATTCTGTTAACCGTGTTGTTTTCGTTTCCGTTGGTAATAATTCAATGTATTACAAATTAAGAGAGACAAGTGCAGTTTTGGAGTGAGGAATCAATGGTATTACTAACATAATTATGTTGTCCAAACTTTTCCCACAGAACTGGTCAAAGATATTCCCATATCTACCTGAAAATGTCTTGGATATATCCGGACTCACACTTAACTGGCAAATACATTTGTGAAATAGCAGGAACTGACTACAGAGGAAACCCCGTGTTGATAAAGAATTCTGCCACCGTGGCAACAGTGGAACCTCCTCGGGAACAACTGGTGGAAAAGATTAATAATCTGGACTCTCAGCTGCAGCAAAATACTGAACTACTGGATCAACTCGAGAACAATCCTGTTCTTTTCCCCAAAATTAGCAAGTGCGACGACCTCAATCTTACGAATGGGACGCAGATCGTGAGTTTGTTCCCTCCAGATAACCAAAGCCGTGTCAATGTCGTCTGTCAGTTCAACGGCCTTAAGGACACTTGGACTGTGTTCCAGAACCGCTTTGACGGGAGCGTTGACTTCTTTAGAAATTTCTTTGACTACGAAAACGGTTTCGGGAATATGACAGGAGAGTTCTGGATGGGTCTCAAGACCTTGAGGCGATTAGTGCAGGGCGGAGATTACGAGCTTCAGGTGGATTTGGTCAGCAACAACGGAACTTCTTACGTCAGGAACTACCCACATTTCAGCATCGGCCCTGGTCCGGGATACCAACTCACAGTCAGTGGCTATAATGACAGTTGGGAAGGCCTGACATACCACTCTGGTCACAATTTTTCCACTTTCGACAAAAACCCCAGGTGTCCCAATATGGGTCACGGTGGGTTCTGGTACAATGACTGCGTCCAAGTAAATCTGAACGGTCGATGGGGAGTTGACTCGTTTGAAGGTATCTGGTGGGCCGAGATAAGTGGCGTAGGAAAGAACTTCTGGTTCCAGCAAACCACCATGAAATTCAAACTGAAATCATAGGTTGACAGTTTCTTCCAGGGCGGAAGCTAGATTCATGTTTGCTTTCAACAAGTACTCAATCAAATAATATACTTCCAAAAATCTGTGCAGGAGCATGCAAAACATTTCCAATGCTGTAACTTTCCTTTGTGAAAATAAACGAATGCTGTTGTTATATCGTAAAACGATCGAGATTAAACAAGGAGAGTCAATTAACAATAAGAAAATCTTGCTGTTTTACTGTGGTTCCTTTTGGTTTCCCTCTTGTTTAATGCCCCGTTAGACATGTTATAAGCAACTGGAAAAGTACTGCATTTGGACCGGACAACATTCAAAAAGAAAGGTCGAAGTATCTTTAACTCTCTCTTATTCGAATCTTGAACTTCTTGTGATCCAAAAATACGAAAAGAGAGAATCATCTCTTTATCTTTGGAGCATAACTTTTATTTCAGTGAGAAGAAGGGTGTTATACTCTGTGTTTGCCAGATGGCCTCATAAGTGATCTCCTGAAAGAATATAAATTTTTACATCGAAAGCGGTGTTGCGACTCAAAGAAATACGACCAATGCTTATCAATAATAATTATGTTCTTGACATTGGCGCATAATAAAGTATCAAATATGACTTAGATAACTCCGCGTCAGCAATTTTTGACTTGCACTTTGCCAACCAGAGAACGCCTAGATTTCTGTTACCAATAACATTGTGTAGAATACACTTTTATCACAGCATGATTTCATTCTGATTGTGATTGAAACATTTGTGTAGTTACATACGTTGTAATAGGGCTTTTTAAAGATGGTTACCAGATACTTAAATCATTACAATCTTCTATAAACAAAAATTAAATAAAAGTTGATGCTTCGCAGTGTTCCGAAATCAAGGTTATCCTAAATCCTGAAGATGTTCGGAGCCAACCAGGTAACCACTGGAAGAAATGAAATCACATCATTAGAAAGTAAGTACTTGGGTTCGGAGTCGATTCTTACAATTCCTAGCTTTCAACAATCAGGAACCTAGCCGCCCAGCACTAGACTCTCCAGTCAGTGGTATAGCTGTTGGACGCTTCGCCGTCGCACAGAGAAATAACTCAGGTTGTTGTTGTTGTTGTTGTTGTTGTTGTTGTTGTTGTTGTTGTTGTTGTTGTTGTTGTTGTGTGTGTGTATGGAGCCTCTCCGTTCGAAATATTAGAAGCCCCGAAGAGCGTGCTCTTCGCCAGGGCCACCGCCTCCCTTGGGTAGCGGGTGAGGCAGTTCAACCTCCCTGAATCCTCCCCGAAGAGATGCCACCGTCGGACCTCCGTGCCGGGGCATCTCTGCAGCCAGTGCTCCAAATCGTGGGGCTCCTCGCTGCACGATGGACATATTGGGTCCGATGTTTTGTCTATTCTATTTTTTTGTTGTTGTTGTTGTCTGTTTGCTGCTGTTTTCGTTCTAATTATTTGTCAACAAATTGTTGTTTTTGCTCTTGGCGTTGTTTCTGTTGTTGTTACTGTTGTTTTTTGCTCTAGTTTTATTTTTGCTATTGCTGTAACGTAACGTAGCACAAGGTCTGCAATTCTACGGACACCAGCCTGAGAGGAAAGTTTCAAGAAGGTAAAGAACAATTGTTTGGATTTGGGGTTGAATTTGTTGTTTTATTTTTGCTGTTGCTGTAGATATTAATGGTTTTTAAACATTACGTAACACAAGGTATGCAATTCGATGGACACCAGCCTGAGAGGAAAGTGGAAAGTTTCAAGAAAAATTGTTTGGATTTTGAGTCGAATTTATAACTTCACCATTCATCATTGTCGTATGTCAAAACACGAGGTGGGGACTCTCGTGGTCTAGAGGTTAAGGTGTTCGCCTCTCATTCAATAGGTCCTGGGTTCGAATCCGGATAGCGAAGGAACATTTTTCTTCTCTAAAATGTTCTCCTTTTCTGCTCTCTTGCAATGTTTTATCGTCTGCTTCCGTCCTCACTTTCTTGCCCCCCCCCCTCCCCACTTCCTTTGCCTCCTCCTCTGGGCGCCTGGCTCTTTCTGCGGCCTTTCTACGGCTACTCCTTGGCTCCTCCTTACTACTGTCTTTTAGCCGCACCCCTGATCTTGTTGGAAAGATCTACACCTAGCCTTCTCGGACATCGGAGAACATTCTCGGAGGTCGCGTGTGCAAGTTGCGAACGTTATAGATCCATAAGTGGTCTAAAATCAAAAAGAGTAAGCTTCGGCCGCCACCTGGGTAAAATTCCTACCAACTGAAAATGTTTAAGTTAATGTGTCCCGCACGCTCATGTGACCTAACGCAATTGCGAGCGCCGTAAAACACTTTAAAAAAATACAGATACAAAAAACACGAGGTTTCAAAGGGAAAAACAAATCTGTTTTATTTCTCTCAGGGCACAATCTTCTTATTTCCTAAAAACATATTTAATTCGTCTAAACCCGTTTTTATTTTACGAAGAGGAAAACAACAAGGATGAATTAATGGAGCTTAGCAAACTCTACCCTTGATTTTATTTTAAAAATATTTTTGAAATTTTGACACATTATTAATTTATAGTGTTGCAAGACGGCGACGATTTGTATCCTATTTCTGCACAATGGTGGATTTATGATCTAAATTACACACTCAACAAGAAAATTATACTGAATAAAGTTATTACACAAGTGATAAATCAGAAAGTCTATAATAATCCTTTAGGAATGCAACTCCAAAAGTGTGGTAGGTGCTAAGGGGGGTGATCACAATATAAAACTACAGATTACTCAATGAAACAAGAGTTGTGTACCTTCCCATGCATTATGCCGAATAATAATTATGGTTTTCATTATGTTCTTGTTGTTGCTAAGTTTCAACACCCTACTAACCAAAATGTGGACCCTTTCAAAGACAGAGTATTTGGTCCTCAAAAAGGATTCAGGTGTAATTATTCAGAAAAGTTAAAAGAAATAATTTGGAGCCCACGCTGATCTGAAACTAAATCTACCAAGTGGGAAAGCAACTTCATAATCTGCGAAGTCGTTCCCGACACCAATTGCTTCCCAAAATAGAAGGCATAAAACAAGAGAATTATAAATTATAAAGTGAAATGTTAGCAGTGCAGGGTATTACAAAATAGAATGAAATAACTGTTGAGTAAGTATAGCTTTATGACTCATCACTGGTCGGCGAATCTGAGAGAGGAGAGAGGGCACTGTACACGGAAGGAGAAGGAAAGGCAGACAGAAAAAGAGAAGGGAATAAAATATAACGGAATCGACAGGTTTTAAGTTGGGCGAAGCCCTACAAAAACCCTGAAAATGGAACAGGATGGAGAAAAGGATGGGGAAAAGTGTTTGCCCAATCCTCGTTGGTGCTCCAACGGTCATCTAGACTAAGAGAGAAATATTCGTTGGTATGTTATAAACAGAATGTGTTAATGTAGTAGTTACTGTTAGAGTTCTGTTGTTCAGAAAAACAACAAAAGACAATGCTTTAAACAAATGAATTTGACAATTTGTATGAAGGATGAAGAAGAAGAAGAAGAAGAAGAAGAAGAAGAAGAAGAAGAAGAAGAAGAAGAAGAAGAAGAAGAAGAAGAAGAAGAAGAAGAAGAAG